CCCCCCCGGCCCCCCCTCGTCCCCGCTAAATCAGAATATTGCTGCCTTTTCTTTTTTCGTTTTCTCTGGGCAGGCCAGTGGTTCTGCAAGGTTGCGGCTTGGGGCGACAGATGTGCTAGCGACCGTCAAGGTGAGTCCGGCCAACCACTTGGTTACTGCTCTCTATGTATATTTTTTATCTCTTTATAAAGGAAAAAAAAAGGAGGAAAAGTAAAACAAGAGGTAGAGAAGGAGAAAAAGTAAAAAAAAGGAAAAAAAAATGGAAAAAGGACTGTTCATGTGATGTGATCGACATTCGTGCAACAGGTCGAATCAGGAAAAAAATTGAGTTAAATCAGCAAAATACAAAAAAGTTAAAAACTACTAAAAAGAGAAATAACGAACTCCTCTGTTTTATGGTTTAGGAGAACCCCCCCCACCTTCGCCCCTCCCCCCCAAGAAGAAAAGGGGAAAGGGTTTAGGCAATCATGAGTCAGAAAATTCGGACGACCTTACGCGTGATTTTGATACGGAGATCAATTTAGAAAACTGATTGGTAGAGTGAGCTGACTGTGGAGATGTCGATTAAGAAAAGAGATTGGTTAATTTGTGGATAGATAAATTAGATAGATTGATTCGGTGGGAAATTGTTTTGATTGGTGGAAGCTAGCTAGCTTGCTTGCTTGCTTGCGTGTGTGCGTGCGTGCTTGCGTGCTTGCTTGCGTGCGTGCTTGCTTGCCTGCTTGCGTGCGTGCTTGCTTGCTTGCATGCATGCAAGCAGGGCGGGCGGGGATTGCGTAAAAAAAATGATTGATAGATCCCTCGATTGATTGATTGATTGATAGATCTCTCGATCGATTGATTGATTGATAGATCTCTCGATTGATTGGGTGGTTGATCAGCTGTATGTTGATGTCATAAAAATCGACTAATTGATTGATTGATTGATTGATTGATTTTCATCGCTTGGTTGATTGATTTTATAGATTGGTTGATTGGTTTTGATCGATTGATTGATTGGGTGGTTGATCAGTTGTATGTTGATGTCATTAAAAATGATTGATTGATTTTCGCCGATTGATTGATTGATTGATTTTTGATCAATTGATTGATTGCGAAGTGGTTAGTTGTGTCATCGATGTGTCATAACTATGGCAGAACTATGTATGTGTCTTTTATATGTCAAAAATGATGACAGAACTATTGTAAGGTATCCTTGACTTTATTATTAGTAACGAACGGAAGGAAATTCTTCGCTATTCGTTTGGAAAACAACGGCATAAAATAACCTTTGCAGAGGCTGAGGAGCTCCTGTTCATCATTCTCGAGCCTGAAAACTCTTTTGTGTAGTCGGTCTTTTTTCTTTCTTGTGTGTGTGTGGGGGGAGGACTAGGAAACAGTTCAAGTAAGACAGAGAGAGGGGATCACAGCCACCCATCCCTGCCGCGCGAGACACTCTGCCGGGGGAGGGCTGGGGGGTTATCCCAGAGCACCTCGCTGCGTGCACTTAGGGGGAGGTACTTCAAGAGTTTACCTCCAGAGTTGACCTGCAGGTAAACTTCTTCTGTCAGTCTTTTGGAGTGTATGGCAAGAGTTTACCTTTGGTAGTGCCCGTAAATTCTTGCCAGTCTTTGGAGGTACAGCAAGGATTTAACTGCAGAGTTTACCCACAGAGCTTACTTTCATAGTTTACCCACAGAGTTTACCTTCAGAGTTTGCCTCCATAATTTACTTTCATAGTTTACCTTCAGAGTTTACCTCCATAATTTACTTTCATAGTTTACCTTCAGAGTTTACCTCCATAATTTACCTTCAGAGTTTACCTTCAGAGCTTACCCTCAGAGTTTACCTTTAGAGTTTACTTTCAGAGTTTACCTTCAGAGTTTACTTTCAGAGTTTACCTGCAGTAGTCCTGCAGCTGTCAGTCTTTTGCAGGCATTGCAAGAGTTTACCTCGGTAGTGCTGGGAAACCCTACCAGTACTGCAAGAGTTTACCTGGAGGTACTAAGGTATGAAGGTAAATTTACCCTTGCGAAGGTAAGGTACTGGCAGAGTTTACCTGCAGGTGAACTTCTTCATACCTAAGTACCTGCAAGGTAAATTTACCCCTACGAAGGTAAACTCTGAAGGTAAATTTAACCCCTGCCAGTCTTTTAGAGGGTACTGCAAGAGTTTACCTCAGTACTGCCAGGAAACTCCTGCTACCGCCGTGCCCCGAATAGAGCGTCTAGCTCATTGTTGCTGTATTTGGGGCATCTTTCAGTCTAGATACAGCAATAATGACCGTAGGTTCTATTCGGGTGACGACAGTGGTCTTTGGAGGTACTGCAAGAATTTACCTGCAGAGTTTACCTGCAGGTAAATGTCTTCGGTCGAGAGTTTATGTGCAGAGTTCACCTGCAGGCAATCTTCTTCTGTCATTCTTTTGCAAGTACTGGAAGTGTTTACCTCGGCTCTCCTGGGAAGCTCGTACCAGTCTAAGGAGGTACTGCACGGATTTACCTGCTGAGTTTACCTGCTGAGTTTACCTGCTGAGTTTACCTGCCGAGTTTACCTGTAAACCTGCAGCACTGCTGCAGACAAGTAAACTCTTATCAGTCTTTTGCAGTTACAGCAAGAGTTTACCTCAGTAATTGCCGGGAAACTCATGCTGGTGTTTTTAACTGTTTTATAGACTTAAAAAAAAAAAATTGCACAACAATTTTCTGCGGCGTCCTCTGCTTGTTAGAACTTGCGGTACGGAGGATCCCCACTTTGCTGCGGTACGGCCGTTCCTCACTTTGCTGCAAATTTTTTATTTTGTTGTTGTAAAAAAGAATTTGGACCATTTTTTTTTGAGTTTTTGTGCGTGTCATCTGTATCGTTCCAATTCTTTTAAGTGATGTTCCGGAGGAATAAGAATATATAAAAAAGGCGGATTCTTTGTTTATGGCCGTTGATCTTTTAACCGATGTCCAGAAGTGCATAATCGACGATGCGGATTCTTTGTTTATGGCCGTTGATCTTTTAACCGATGGCCGTTGATCTTGTAACCGATGGCCAGAAATGCATAATCGATGATGGATGCTCAGAAATGACTAATCCGGGCAGGTGAGGCCTTATGGCTGGATGGGAGGAAATTGTATGCTGGCGAGTACGCGTTGTATCTTTGCGCAGTTTTCTTGGATCCATGCTTTTTTTCCTGTGACATTACACACTCCGACCTGCACTTTCTTGAACGTATTTGGTTGCAAATGCGACCAGGTGAGTCCAGAGGTTCTCATGTGAGTGACTGTGTCATTTGTTGTCTGATTCTTACTGTAACTTTTGATTGGATGTATTTGGTTGACAACCAAAAACGACCATGTGAGTCCAAACGTTGTCATGTGAGCGAATGTGTCATTGCTGTCTGATTTGCACCGTCAAAACTAGAGGCCAACTTCTGGTCGGATGTATTTGGTCGCAAATGCATCCAGGGGAGTGAAAAGGTTGCATGGGACTGAGTGTGTCATTGCGGTCTGATTCCAGCTGCGAATGGTGGAGGCCAACTTCTGATTGCATGTATTTGGGTAGCAAAGGCAACCAGGTGATTCCAAAGGCTGAGCAGAGGGATAAAGTCTGTTTTTGTTCTCACAGGTGGAGTTGGGATCCCCATCGCAAAGCAAGCCTAACCAAGGGCGGATTGAAGTTGCGGTGGAGTTGTCGGCCACTGCAGATCCAGAGTTCGAGGTATAAGGGGAATTGTGGGATGAAGGCATCTAATTTTGAATCTCATGCTTTTTTCTTCTTCCCCCCTTCACCCCCCTCCCTGTCTCTTATACACATCTAGATGTGTATAAGAGACAGATTCAAAGGACAGAACAAAAAAAAAAAAAAAAAAAAAAAAAAAGGACGTGAAATATTTTTTTGTGAGGGCCTAATGCCTTCGGGTTCGAACCTCGAAGGAAACCCCGAACGCCCGTACGTACGGAGGTCAGCCCGGGGACCTGCGTACGAACGGGTTTGCAACCCTGCCTGAAATAATCATTTGATTCGATTTGAACTTTATTAAAAAATTATAAAATATATTTAAAATGTAAATTATCTTGTGTACGTATTCTATTTGTCGTGACGGTCAATAAAAATTATACATACAAATTGTTCAACACTCGAGAATATATCTGTATAAGCTAATTCTCTCTCATCCACAACTAAATATTGAACTCTCTAGTACTTATCATTCATATGATGTTTCTGTTTTTTTGCCTACCGACTTGAGAAATTAAAATAAATTTGAAATGAAATTTATAAATAAGTTTTGCGAAAAAACTAACTTTGAGTTTGTTGGTTTTATGCGATTGTGGTGCGAATAGGATTCAAAAAATCAACAATCTACCTAAAGCAACGTATAAGCGCAAGAGGGAGGATGTGGACCAAAACAAGTAGTGTCATCAATCCATGTCTGCTAAGAGACTACTAGGGGTGTCAGAGTCACTTACTTGAGCGTGCGGCCAAATTCACATTGATTCAAACATACAATCATACCTACTCTCTCTAATTGCAAGGATTTTGTTTTTCTTTTTCTTTTGATAAAGTCCAACTTATTGTAGAGGTTGACTACTAGGCACATGATAGGACTGCGAATACCTGAACATTTGATCATCCCAATGTATTGCCTAACTTGTCCCCCTAAGACACCCTCTCACTCATCATCACGATCCCCGACGAATCCCTTGGGAGTCCCTACTCCCAAGGTCCTACCTGAGTATACCAAGAATCATCACCCATTCTAGTGATCTTTAACCGGACAATGATTATAGGCATCATGGCTAAACAGGTTCTCACCTCGCTCCGCAACCCTGATTGAACCATCATTGAACGAGCCATGACGTATTGGGCACTTTGAGCAATAGGGGTAAGCATGGTATTACAAATCTCATAGGCGAACCATAGTTTTTTCTATTTTTTTTTAGAGATCATAACGTTATCATCATCGGATCCCTCGGGTTATTCTTTAAATTATTGCGGAGGTTATTTAAACCTATAGTATCTTCAGTTTTCGCCCTCAGTAGGCCTACCACCACCACCCGCTCCCCATACCTCTAACATCAATTGCATATCTAGACATTCTATTAGCATCTCCTATAGTAACTCCAGTTTTCGTCCTCAGCGTGTTCACGATCACCATCCGCTCCCCCAACCTCTATCATCAATCCGAACCACTCTGGGCTGCTACAATCCGATAGTATTTTGCATGCAGGTAAGTGACTAACCTTCACCCCCCAAAGACAATCTTTAATGCAGGTTCCCCAACAATATCCTTCACCATGACCTATCCTAACTCCACGTCAACCAAGATGACCCCTAAGTCATCCACTACCGCAGGGGCCCCAATCCTCTAGTAGGAATAGTGTTCAACCAACCCTCCCCCCAGGGGAGTCCTCGATCAATCCCACCTAAAACCCATGCTCTCCCTAAGTTGAGCCCTAAGGTAACGAATGCCACGTGATCAATCGGCCACAACCGTAGTCTACATCCGCAATGTTTATTTATGAACTTAATTTTTCGGTATCAAACCTTGAACCTCGAACCTCATGCTTATTAGTGACCAGTTTTAACCTACCGAGCTACTGTCTCGAATGGTCAGAACGTGTGCTACGTTGAGCTCGAGTGAGGGACAAGTGTGCGAGCATTCAGACAACCTCATAAACCAAGTATGCACTCAAACCAATAATAGTCTAAACCCAATATACAACATCATGGATGATCCCTTGGGTGGTGCAACTCGACTCTTTCTTGCAGCCTAGCGGTGGAACAGGGGGCTTGTACATGTTCAACGAGCATGTCACGTAGCTCAGTTGGTTAGAGCAACGGACTGAAAATGTAGGCAGTGTTTGTAATAGCTTACCTACGTCAGCCGAATGGGGTATACAAGTGATAATGCGTTATGTAAACGACCGTCGGTGCCTCTGCGCAGAGGTGCAAATTTTTGAATTTGCAACCTCATATCACAACGCGCATTGACAACCGGTGCCTTAACCATTGAGCCACAAAAAATCAATTTGATTTTTGTCCTTAAACCATTACTCGAATACACAAACGTTGTTGTTTCACCTCAAAATAATTTCTCATCAACAACATTCACACTTCCCATGTTATAACTGAAACATAAATGTTGGTTATACATCGGACGTTCTTTGTATATATACAAAACATGATTACCTTTCTAATTTCATAACTCAAACCAACGACGCAAAATACTTCTTGCCTCAAATTGCAACGAGTTCAAATTTGCAAACGAATCTCAACTATGTTTTGCAGTCCAACTCCAGTAGGCTAATATTTTGTTTTTCACCTCAACCTAATTCTTCAGTCGAAAGCATTCGTAGATTCATGCATAAAATAAGTCTCATCTACAATATTAATTATTTTTCATACAACCCATTTTCCAACACTCATACTATTGGTATATTTTACTAATAACACATACCTAAGAAAGAATATGTAGGACATTGACATTGATAAACTTACTCACAATCGAACACCCTTTTTATAAATCTCACAATTTTTATGTGAAATTTTACCTTTATTGTTGAGGACAGAGTGAGACAAAACCGATAATGATAAATGCCCATAGTAAGAAACACACTCGGGATCACAAATTATAGAAACATGACATAAATCTTTATTTCTCATTTATCAGCCGTAGTGTTGAGAGTACCTAAGTTTATTATAACATTTATTTGTACGTAAGCATTATTTCACCAAAACGTTTATGTTATGTATTTATGTATATGAGACATGTCAAACATAATTTACAAGCATAATGTTTGCACTAAATTTTTGCTACACTCTTGCAATCCCAGTATTTAACATTTGCACCCTGATGATAAAAAATAAAAAGTACAAATATTTTAGATGACCTTGAAAAATGCAATGTGTCAATGCCCTTTAAAAATTAGGCACTCACTGAATACCCTTCTAACCTACCATCCTTGTAACATACCCTTGTCAATGTTATTTAGCTTTATATGATAGGCCAAGTCGTGGAAATATTGAATCAACACCTCAGTGTGCAAAGTTTAAATTAAAGTTTACTTTATAATAAATAAATTTGAGTAGCTTTTAGTTTTATGGGTTTTGTTTTATTTAGTAAATAAATTTTTAATGAAAATTTAAAAACTACTTTTGAAGTAAAAAGCGAATCTGTTGTTTCAAAATTACAACAACTCATGAGTTTTCAAGAGACTTTGCTGTCAGAGTTTTTGAAACAACATGAATTACATAGTATCAATGACGCATAATAAAAAAAATTCGGAGTCTAATAAATACGATTGGTATTACGCAACATTTGACTACTCTAAGGAAAACACTTGACGAAATACCACCTCTTTTAGGCATATCTGACAAATATTTTTCGTTTTAGTTTTTATCGCTACATGCATATATAAATGTGCAATCCTAGAAGGTTATATTGCTCCTTTTAGGTTATTTTCTTCGGGAGGGGGGAGGAGGAATTTGCAAAATACCCCCAAAACTTCATGTATATGCTAAAATACACCTCAAAGATGTGGGTAGAATGAAATATTATGAAATTGTACAATTTTATGAAATGACGTTTTAAATTTAAACCACAAGTACACCCGAGTCTGAAGGTGCCTTACTGCACCTAACTTTTATGAACTGTCGGCGAGACACTTTTTTATTTTTGGCTGGTGTCACCAACCATTGTGGTCCGATATTCTGAACCTCCGAAATTTTTGTAGGTGACAAGTTTCTTTTTGAGCAAGGCTAAGGCTGTGTACTGGCAGTTTAAATCTTTGTGTTACACCGTTGTCAGGGGGTTACTAAGTTTGTGCTATACCCTTGCTAGGAGCAGAATGTGAGCTTGCACATACCCTTACATTTCACTAACTTTTAAATCTCTAAAGGGTATTCCACTTTACAGATGTCTTTTAGGGGTGTTCTAACACATATGTGGATTTTTGCGGGTGTTTCGCAAATTATCATTGGGTATCAATCCTATTTCGGGAAAAAATATTTACGAAGTCTTCTTATTCAAGGAAGACGTTTTTCGGCTTGAGCCTATCATTCTCCAGCCTGCAGGTTGTTAAGTTTTTACGGTTCAATCGGCTTAGTGTACTCCATAGGCAAGATATGAGATCAAATATTATGACAGATTGGTTTTTGGCTTTTGGGTAAGCACAACAAAGGATCAGACAATGGACGTCTTAGTCGGTCGACTGCTCCCGCTATAGCTAGGCTATTGGCTTGCTATCGCCAGATCTAAAATTGACATTTGAGAGCTCGTATTGTCGATAGCAATCAACACGAGTTTGGTCTTGGCTTAACAAATGCTTTCCTACACTTTCACTTTCCTACTTGTCTGCCCGCTTGTTTGTCTGTATGTCTTCATCTCTTTTTTTCTCTCTCGCACTTCTTCTAATTGTGGGCCGTCTCTATTACGTTTGATGGGCTTGAATGACGTTGTTGCAAGGGGTAATTGCTGCATGTAAACGTTAGTGAACTCACATGCCTGATTGTTGATGTCGAGATTGTTTCCTTCTGCATGAATTGAAGATGATCAATGGTTCGGTGAAATCAATGATTGTTTCCTTCTCTAGGTGGCAGTTTGCTCTGATTGTATTTGTATCCTCTTGGATCAGTTGATAGATAGGAAAACAGGATAGGCCACTTCTCCCTTTTTCTCTCAAAACCTCTGACCAGTCTCTATATAGCAGGCTGATTTC